AAGAAGTTAAGAAACTACAATTTCCCACAAAAGTTTTTAGGGAAATTGATCGGTGTACGAATACATTCTACACCCACTGTATTCATTAAAGACATTAATCGTGAGAAATTTGCCTAAATTTCTATATCTTTCGATTTGAATAACTAAAGATTAATGATATAATGAATACTGAATGAATGATATAATATGAATAATGACCCGACAATAGTTAAATGAATTATCAACAACACTTGTTGAAGCTATTGTGGAGAATATGATTTTGCAAAATATAGCACGATTTATTCTTAACGATTATTTTATATTTTCGCTAATAGTAGATAAGAGTTAACCTACTCGAGTTATGCCGGCGATTAATTTGCTGCGGCCGTTGACTGGTCGAGCACGTAGTTCGCGTTACTGCAACCATTTGCAATCGCCTTCATTAGCGTCAAGTTGTTGGTGGGTTCCTTGGCGAGATTAGCATTTAATTCGATTAACGCTGTAACACGCCTAAGTGAAACAAGATTCACGACAACAACGAGGAGCTCCTGGGCCCGTTTGCGTCGCGCAAACTGCGAACAAATCAAGTCAGCCCTCCTGATATCGATACGCGTGATCGATGCAGAGTGCTGCAACCCATTCCCGAATTATGAGAAAAAATTATGAGAAAAAATTATGAGAACGTTAATTTCGCAATTTTATTCAGAACCACATTTTCAAACATCAAATTAGATTATACGTTTACTTATTTTTTTCCGTGAGAATTAGTCTTCACCAAACTGTATACGAGGAAAGCCAAACGGTTTTTTGATTTTTCGGTCGTATAACGAAACATTGCGCGAGGCAACGATGCATCGACTGAAAACTGTAAATTATACGCAGCGCTGCAGTGGAAATTGGAAAAGTGATTTATTTTTATTCGCGTGGCCGTAGTTCCCGCATTTTATCACCGATTCCTTTGGTATGCATTAAACGTGCCATGTTTTTTTCCAACTCTCACTCCTTCACTTTGATCGCCGTTCAGTATCAAATTTTTAAACTCTGATTCTGTCTCAAATCTAACAAATGTTTCAAGTATCAACATAGTAATGAATCACACAGACTGCTTTAAAATTTCCCTTGTGGTTGTGCTCCCTTGTAATGTGTGACTCTACAGAGTAACTCTGCAAAATTTCATGTGAAGAATAAACCACAAAAGAACATCAGTTGCTCAAGTTCGAGATTCCTCGTGTTTTTTCACGAAAACTTGGACCGATAAATAGAATCCATTGTGCGGGTTTCCTTAAGTAAGGTTTTGCGGGCAGTCAAACCTCATTAAACTCGGTTCCGTTATTCTCTGGCCACCATGTAATCATTTAGAGTACCATTGTACTCGGTGATTCGAGTAGCGGACACGAATCGGAATCAACAGCTGCACTTTGTCATTGAAATAACGGAAACCGGATCCACTTGGAGTAGACTTTTTTCCTCTCGTGAAGCTAGGCAAATGAATAACTGTTTGCAAGAAGAATAACTGAATACACTGTTTACACGACATACTTTCATTTAAGGGGTTAGTCGCAGTCAGAAAGAAGAAAAACGACATTTCTTTATGATTTTTTTTTAGTTATTAAATAATAATTTGCACAAGTAATAATTAAGTATATTTTTTTTCCCTGTCTGTTTTATGTCGCATCGACTACAAGGTCATTAGCGACAGAACTATTTGCGATTTTTTAAATCTTAGAATATATATTAATGTCTTGGAGGAAGTCTATTGTATTTCTGATGTGGTCCTGATTTTTCTTTCCTGTTGAGGTTTATGGTTGGTATTTGCTGATAGAAGTTCTGGATGGTGTTGTAAATTTTTGTTATGTTGGTGTGGTCCAAATTTTATTCCATTCTTCTTTTATTATTGTTTTTACATTAATTATTTGGTCAAGACATGGTATTGGTGTTGCAGGTATAAAGCATGTTTTAAAGAACTAAAAAACATTTTTTGTTTTAATAAACGTTTAATTTATATCGTCATAACAGCCGATGACGTAGACGATGATTTAAAAACATAGGTTTGCGGCGAGCAAGATTTCTCTACACTGGTTTACCTGAAAACAAAAACAAAGGTAGATTACGAAAATAGATTAGTCTAGCGGGTCCCTGAACGAAGGATTTTGGAAAAAATTCATTTAAAACAAGATGGCGTACATTTGGAGTTGATTTTCAATTTTTTCACTAAAATTAAGCGATTCAATACAGGATAAAAAAGAAGTATACAAGAAAATAAAAAATCCTTCGATCAGGGACCCGTTAGTCTAATATATTTTCTAAATCTACCTTTAGTTTTGTTTCCAGATGCACCAGTTTGTAGAAATCTTGCTCACCGCGAATCAAGTGGCCACCCACGCCATTGCCTGTTATGACGAAATAAATTAACCTTTTTTTACAACAAAAATTCTTTTATAGTTCTTTAAGACATACTCTGTAATATATTTACATTTCATTCAGAAAAATTATTATTTAATACGTTAAGAAAAACACACAAGAAACTGTCCGTTTCGATTTTCCTGACTGCGACTAACCTCTTACTCAAATCTCAAAGTAGAAGTAAAGAAACAAAGAAATGTATAACATATACAAAATTAATAGAAAAATGGGTGAAACCAATTATGTAGGTCACACGAGCAGGCGTGAACGCCCTATCGACTTTAAACTTCCTAATAAGGTATCGAAACACAACTCCAAGGAATATGGTACCTTAATACAACGGCGACAGTGAACTTGATCCAATCTGATACCATCGAGTATCACGAGTCCGTGCTTATCTGTCACGCTGCGAACCCGCATCTTTCAGGACGAGAGTTCTCGTGGATAAAAATCACATCCTCAGACTTAATTTTATTCGTTTATAGCTTACGCTAAATATAAAATATGACAACTGCACCTAGCGTGTGTAGAATATATTCTATTAATTAATATAATACTACAAAAACTATGTAATATACATCGAATCTGTTTTATTGATTAATATAACACTACGAACAGCTCCCAAAATCTATCGCCACTAATCTTCGAGAACAAGCACATCCCACGATACCGTACCGTCCACGAGACGTTTGATCTCGATCACGAAAGATCGATTCCTAAACTAGCGAATTTTGAATGCAATTCAAACTTGCCAAACGCGTCAACTCTTGGAGAGATCCTTGAAAACTTTGCGTGACATTAACGCCCGATCCCTGTTCGCGACGAATAATTTGTTTCGAATAAAAAAAAAGAAAAAAGAAGTGCGAATCGAAGAAACTTGTCAGACGGCCGGTGAAATATCTCGATTCCATTTCTTGGTAGATTGCTCCGAGCTAACGTAATCCAGTCGACGCAAACAATCCATGGCAAGGTGGATTTCGAAGGCGCAGAACCTCGGGAAACTTCATCTCGTTAGAAGTTATTTCAGCGAAAAGGACAGCACAACTGTCTGTGTGAAACCTCTCATAATGCACGTTATAGCAGTGTTATTTCGAGAGGAGGATGGGTGTCGAGAGGTAGACACGTCTGGACGAATCTTCAAAGACGAACTTTCCTCACCCATTAACCCCAGCGTGGCCATTTTATTTAAAAAGTCGGGATAAAAATTATTTTTTTATTATTTAAAGTATGTATAACGGAGGCCAGTAAGCAGATCTTTTATTGGGTGAATTGCTTTTGAAGAAAAAATTGTTTAATACAGGTTCAAGAGATGGCTGGCCCTTTGACACAGTGCACATCTGTTAACCAGACTACTGTATCTCTGAAAATGAAGCGGGAATGAGCAAATCAGTTTATCTATACAATTATCCTTATTAACCCTGCTCTAATAATCGTTAAAGATTGTAAGTTTAAAAACAAGTTCGACGTAGGTCAAATTGACTCGGGGAGAGCAGACTGTAAACGGACAGGAAAAAAGGGATGATCGCGGACTAAAACGTCGTATCGATTCCGATGCATGGTTCTATTTTTGTACAATATTTAAAATACGTATTTCTCTCCACCCTATCTCTCTTTCCGTCCGACACGATATTCCCAATAGCCGTCACATGTAGGTACTAGTGTCTCATATTTATACACGAACAAAGATAGCTTCGCGAGCAAATTTATTTCTGGGAAGCTTCCTATGTTTTGTCTATTTCTTTTTTATTTTGTTTTTCAGTTCTTCGCAGTCCATTGTTCCATTCCATTCGAGTTCTTTTTACGGACAATTTCTGTGAACTTTGAATAATAGCCTGAGAAGTGTTCACGTGGCCAAGTAACTGTTCAAGAGCGCAATAAAAGTGAATCCAACGCACGCGGAGAAGAACTGTAAAATACCCGCGTAACGTCGCTCGCTCTTATGCCATCTTGCCCTCTCTCTGGGAAGTATCTCGCTGACTGTCACGTAGAGCAACGTGCCACCAGCTAAACCTTGCAAAAACGGAAAGGCGAAGTCCATCCAGCTCTTGTCCAACTGCTCGAATCCAAAAATTTTATCATTTCTGTTATTATCACATTTCTGTCTCTAAACAGTAAATCTGGACTGAGTGTTCTTTTATATTATATTAAATTACAATATTCTATATATCATTGTATAGTATATGTATGGCTATTTATAACATATTTATTAGTACATGGAATATTATAGTTGTAAGGTACTCACGCGGAGCGTTATCATTCCGATTCCTATTCCGATTGCAGACCCGATGGAGAAAAAGAAAATTGCTAAAAGTAGCCTGCAAAGGCTGCTGTTGGCGCCTGCTAGCTCCAATCCTAAACAAAAACCGACGACGAACTTGTGAGAGGACACTGCTCCCACCAAAAGTAATACCTGAAAATAATATCTGTCTTTTAATCAAATCCTCAGGCATCTTTACGAGTTTATACAGATGAATGTTGACAGTCACCTCTGACATGGCTTTCTGCAAACCGATCGCCAGTCCCTCGAGGATCGAGTGCACCGTGAGGGCCAGCAAAAGGCCCATCAAGTTGGTATTAGACTCCTGGCACGGTTTGGAATGATTCACATGGCACAAAAACGTGGCCTCCTCGTTGAAACAAGGTGGCGCATTAGGCGCGTACTGCGTCATCCCGTAAGTGCTGCTTTTCCATCCACTGTGCGTTCCATGTCCATCGAGATTCGTCTGATAAAGTGATTTCGGATTGACCTCGGGTCCGTGCACGCTCCCGATGGTCCTCGTCGTCGCGCCATAGCTGCAATCCAGGATTCCATTTTCTAATTGCCCGTAGTATAAATTAATGAGGAGGAATCCAGATTTCTTACTGTGACGGAAGCTAATTACTTCGGGGAGAGTCCCTTTTCTGGAATGTTTTAAGGGAAGATAAATATTTACTGATGGTAATCGAGGGGAGAAGTCGCGACCTTTGGGAAAGATATTCTTCGGTTTTGGAGGTCTAATGGCATACTAATATTGATGTACAATGTACACTGGGTTGTCCAAGTTAATTGCAAGGGGTTGTGGAAGCCTCTTAGGGCAAATATTGTTGGGGAGGAAATATCTTTTTCTTCTTCAAACTCTGCCCTAAATTTTCTAAAAGAGATATAGCGGTTTTATATTATATTGTTATAAGATCAATTTTGAACATGATTGGAGACGTTTTAAACGAGGAATACGTTACAGAATTTTTCCAGATTTTTCAAATTAAAGATCCATGCTTTCAAATAAATAAACAAATGTATCCTAATTCTAAACCTTGTATTTTTCAAAGTTCAATAAATCCACTTATTACTTCTACCAATTTTTTTATTCATCCATTTGATTGGACGTGAGAGCATCTGGGATGTGCAATAATAGCGATAAACCACAATAAACACTGTGATAAAGGAAAGAAAAAATTTCTCTCGACATCAGACCAAAGAAAAATGGCTACCTGTAAATTCACGGCCGGGTATATCACGCCTGAAAGATATCTAACTTCGATTGGTATCTAACAGTCGCACTTATCGAGAGATAAATCGATTTTCGACGTGGCGTCCAACTTTTGTTCGTTTTCCCGCGTGCAAAAATCCTTCGAGCGCTCGACCAGACAACGGAAGAGAAAGAGTGAAAGAATAACGCGATTAAACGCGGCTTCCATCGAATTTCTTCTCAGTCTTCCATTATCAGGCGTTTGCTGAACACTTCAATCGTATTATCGAGTAATTAAGAATGAAATGTTCGATTATTCACGTTGGTGTATTGTTTACGCCAGTTGTTCTCCACTTTTCGTGTATTTGTAATATTTTGCTTTTTTATGAAAAGGCTACTTCGTTTTCATTTTAAAGGTGTTGATTCGCATCTCGTTCTTCACAGTTGATGTCTTTTCTCCCGCCATTATCAGTCGCCTGATACGCGACAATTTAAAAACATTAAAGAAATTAAAAGCTTCTTCCTTATCAATCAAATATATCTGCCTCGAACATAAGTCATTGAAAATTAATATTCGTCTACAATCACCAACGTACTGATCATATTTACTCTCTGGGAATAAAAACGTCTCGAACTAATATAATGTATGAACTCCGTTCAATGAAATTACGTTCCTCCCTTTATTTTGCTCGTTGAACGATGCACACTCTAGAATCGCCATAATCGTTATTCCCATTTGATAATACCAAAATAGCTACACGCCTGCTGACCAGTCCAGTGGATATCTTAAGACGGTTATGCAATGTGCAAACATGCTAGATACCGAACGAGACGAGAATGATTTGTCCAACGTGAAACTAGTGAAATCAGCTCTGAATTCATCTTAACCACAACGTACTTCAAAACCACTAAAACCTCATATCTTGTCAAAAATTACAAATCTAGCAGAATGGTGACATAAACTCCCTCTAAATTCGTCTTGACCGCAACATAGTTGAATTTCATAACAATCTCTACATCCAAAATTGACAGGTTCACCGGGAAATGGTACCTGCCTTCCATCTCTACTACTACAAGGCTCTACACCAGTTACTGTCGCTGGAAGAGATCTTGTGAGGTCGTAAACCGAAACAGTATTTATTGGTTTATTGGCCCAGGTAATTGATCCGTAGGACGACAGGGGTGTAAAATTGGAAAAACCGACAACTTTTTGTTAGAGATGGGAGTTGTAAATAATTAATTACACTCTATATTAAAAGAGATCTCATGGTCAACTAACTAAAACTTCGACCCTAGAAGGAAATCCGGGTCCTCTCATCTCTCTCGAGTGTTTATGTTTCAGGTCGCCACAGTTCGACTTTTAAAACAAAGTATCGACGGCGGTACGTAGGAGTGAAACACTTCGGAGAACGGCGATTCAATTTTGAACAAAGAACAATAAGTTCATTCTTCGTTAAGCGTATTGATAATCCAACACTCTTGGCGATGATTGGTTAACTAAGTTCCTACCTACCACAGTATTTTCAATAAATCGGCCAACAGAATTATGTGTGAACATACATAAGAAGAAAACAGTTATTGAAATATGATGAACATCCTAATTCTGATACCATACGGCCCTGGACGAAAAGTCTAGCTCTGTCCTTGTCTAAAAAGGTGTCACATTACTAATTGCGGTCAACTTAAGTTGTAAAGATCAATGTCCGACCGACTTTACGACCTCGCAAGATCCCTTCCAGCGACAGTACAGTTACTGCTCGAAACAAAGGGGTGTCCTAAGAGGACAAAGACGATTCAAATCGCTGTTTATTTATACCTGACAACTTTCTAGCCAACCTAATACTACAGTCCCAAAAATGTTGTAACACCTTGAAATGGGTGGTTTGGGAGGTGATTTGAAACAACTTTTTCCTTAGCGAAAATGTTGTCCAAGGCTTCGTTGAGGAGATATTAACGGAAAATGTCGACCGATCAGAGCGCTCCAACGGTATACGCGCGCTCTGATCGGTCAACATTTTCCGTTAATATCTCCTCAACGAAGCCTCGGACAACATTTTCGCTAAGGAAAAAGTTGTTTCAAATCACCTCCCGAATCACCCATTTCAAGATGTGACAACATTTTTGGGACACCCTGTATACTACATACAATTGGTTCCCCGTGACTCCGTGCCTGTTCTCATATCGCTGCTCAGGGCTGTGCTCTTCCTCGCTGCCCCAGAAATAATGCACAACTTCGTCCACGAGGTAGAGCAGAAGGAATCCGCAAGAGAATAGCAGCTCTGCGTATTGCGGTACCGACTCCCTCGTCTCTGGCAACATGTGGAGGATCGAGGTGGCCAGCAGCACTCCACCCCCGAAGCAGAGGGTGCACGAGAGGAACAACCTCTGCTGGAGGTCGCGTACGCGTGAAACGAAGCACGCTGGAGCAACCCCCACGACGAAACTTCCCACCCCGATGGCGATCATCGAGGCGAGCTTCGCCTGGACCACGGTGATCGTCATTTTCCTGACGACCAACGCGAGCTACGCGCGGGACCAGATCGGCTGACACTGGCAGGAACACTCGTACGCGCGATTGACGCTAATCTGGCAGCCAGTGATAAGGTCAATCGACTGGAGAGTGATACGAGCGCCGACACTCTTAAAAATCGGCTATCGGTGAAACTCGACGGATAATGGGCACGGTTCCAGGCTCGTGATTGCATTACTATCTGTCGTCGACTGTACATCATGCATTGATCACGATCGTGGCCACCGACAGGTGGGGAAAATTCTTATCTGGAGAGGAATTTTGAGTGAGAAATGGTAAACAGGGGTTTTGTAGAATGGTTTCAAGATTGTTTCTGTTGGGGGTGACTCTTGGCAGTCGATTTATGGGTATTCTGAAGCTCAGTTAGTGGGAAATGTTTGTTTAAGAGGGTGGTGAGTGTGGTTGTAAGTTGTACATTGAATGGGAATTGAAAGATATGGAGTAATAAATTTAATGAGAATAAAATTTAATCTAACACTTACTACGTGGACTCCTAGCGTAGTTTCATGTCTAAATTCCCTCGGCTACTATGTTTGGTGCAAGTGGCGCAATCTCTTCATTGCTCGTGAAGCTCAAACGGAGGTAGCAGGAGAACAGAATAGACAAGGAAGTTACACGTGATAATGTGCGAGAGAGAAAGATAAATGTGCGACAAGGACGACAACTGTTCACTCTCTGGTGGCGCAATCTATGAACAAAGCGATGAACAAATTTTTCTTGACGTTACTTTTCCTTACATAACTCCGGTAATGTAACTCTCATGAAGACTGTATAAGGAGATCCAACTCCATACGAAAGTTACTAGAAAACTGTTATCAAAATCCCGAACTCGTGGCGCAAGTGACCATAGGCTACGATATACATATGTCATATGTGTATGTATTATATATATATATGATACATGTATACATACAGTACAATAGTACTGAGTCCATGTATGTATGGTCGAAGCTCCACTGGCTCCTATCTAGCTAGGGTACCTCGGGATTGCTAAGCCCGTACTGTAGCTGTAGCTGCATACCACTTTTTATGTATCCCGTTGCGGTCGAATGTCGGAAAATAACCTAAACCTTTACAAGTTGCAGTCGAATGTCGGGAAATAGCCGCCCCTATATTACAAAGCGACCTACACACGTCTATCTCTTTGAACAATATTATACACACTAGTATAGTAAACTATAGACTATTACAATTCTTTTGAAAGGAAATTTGACGCAAATCTTCACAACAATAGTCTCTGAATGTTGCTGCTAATCTATATTTGGTGTCCTGAAGTACACAAGTGTACATATATCAGTGTACTTGTGTAGTCAGAGTACATACACAAGTGCACACTTCTAATATTTACGTCTTTAGAATGATTTCGATGACATTTTTAAATAATGAAATGTTTACATCTTATTGTGAACACTAGAAAATTAGCAATACTTGAGGAATATTTTAATTACATGTGACAGAAGATTGATATTTTAAAGTGGCAAGTATTACTCTTAACCATTATATCATAACAACACAATGTATAATAGTATAACTTAACTTGAAAATAATTCCATGTAGTCGAAAAATGTCTGTGGAAACTAAAGCTATGGATAATAATTTGCCATTACCGCCTGATAAAATGCCAAAATGTTGGAACGAAGAAGAAAGAATGAATGCTTTGTTTTCTCCTTTTCGAAGTAAATCTGCCAATCCACAAGACTGGACATCTAAATACAAGTTTTGGCAAAACCTAATATATGAATGGTTGAAGCATAACATGCAATCCAGTTTCTCTATCGCAGACTTAAATGTTGCTTTTAAAAGGAAAGGTTGCACTCCGCTTTGTTTGACATCTGTTGTTGAAGAACTGCTCAAGTAATTCTGTTTCTACTAGCTTTGATAGTTTGTACATAATTATAGATTATTAATTTGAATAATGTTACAGAAATGGTGAAATAATTCCAGAAACTGAATTTTTAAAAGAACCATGCGATTCTTGGACATCATGGTCAATTGATATATTTGTAAAGAGACCGTTTGTATGGTCATTTTCAAAAGTTAAAAGTTACGTTGTAAGCAATGAAATTAATAAAGAAACTAGATATATTCATTTGCAAATTATTAGTGAATTAGCAGAATCAATATTTTTTATTTTGAAAGACGAAAAGGAAAATCTTCTTGTACCATTTTCTGAGGTACTAAAAAGTTGTAAATCTAAAATGAACAAAAATATATCTGATAATACTGTCATGTTAGTTTTAATATGGTTAAGACGTAAAAAAAAAGTGGTCTTTACAAATAATATAAATGAAAATGAGTTGTTAATTAAGATTGCTGTACACTCGTCTGATAATATAACAGAAATTGAGGAAGCACTGTATAAATTAGAGAAACAAGAAAATGAGCTTGTAAACGAGATACATCTCATGGAAGAAAAAAAAATCGATATCATTAATCAGTCCAAATCTTACTTAGCAAAAGGATTAAGACAAATGGCAAAGACACATTTAAGAAAAAAATTCGAGTTAGAAAATACCATTGAAAAAAGAGTGCAGACTCTTGAGAACATTCGATCCCTTGTATTAAGTATTCAGAATACTCATACAAACACTGCTGTATTGTCAGCCTACAAAACAGGATCTGATGTGTTAAAGAAATTAAACGAAAGCGATATATCAGAATCTAATGTCAAAGATATTATGGATAACTTGTCAGAGGTGGGTAATGTAATACCTGGCAGGTAACAATTTATCACTTTGTTTTCATCTAAATGAACTATGAATTTTAGGCCTTGGAAGAACAAAACGAAGTACAACTTATGTTATCAGAGAATTTGAAAAACGATATTTCCGATATTGATCTAGAACAAGAATTAGAGGAATTAATGAAACTTGATGAAGACTCTTTGCCTTCAATACCAAGTGAAAAATTAAGTTCTAATATTGATGAACTTGAACAAAGATTAAAAAATTTGCAAGTTGAAAGTAAGATTTATAATGCTACAAATATGACACATTCTAATTGTTGTTACAATATAATTTGTAAAATTTTATTTTTTAGGTACTCCTACATCTAATGTTGCTTCATTTGAGTCATCATCGCGAAATGTTCGTAACAAAGAAACATTAAGGAACCTAGAATATGTGTGATCTGTGAATGTCAATAAATTATTAGCAAAATTTTATTAATAGAATACATGTATATCCATTTATTTACTTACATCATGTTTTATTTTTTAAATTGCTTCACATACAAATATTTCTTGTAATATAATAGTATTTATTAAGGTTTTATATAAATGCATTCTGTAAGAGTATATAACCTAATCGTATAAAATATGTGATTTTACACGAATCCATTCAAAATATTATTTTTAATATCGTATAGTCTGTGCCTTATTATTCCGTTATATCGACTATTTGTAAAATGATACATGATAATGCCAATACCAAATTCCAAATATGCCTATATAAATTATGGTACTGTAAAACATGAAGGAAATGATTTATTTATTTGTAATCTAAGGATAACGTCTTGTATCCATGTCATATGACGGGACACTATCGTATATAGAGAATATGTAGTACTGTCACAAGTTCTACCTGCTCCTGTTACTTTCACGCCAAGGCTAACACTAACAATACCTTTCAAATACCATAGATTTCCACTTTGAACAACTAATCCGCCGCCGCTATCGCCATCACATACCGACGATCCTAAAATCGTCATGTTTTTAATACATTTCACAACAAAACAGAAAATAATTGCTGTAATTTCTTTACTAACCATTCGTGTATCCAGCGCAAAATTTATCAATCGTAACATATCGTTTAGTTTCGAAAGGATCGCTTGACGATAAGCATTGATTCAAAGGGATGTACGGCACTGTAAGGGATTGCAAAATAGAACTATACGTTCCAAATTGAGTTTTGCCAAATCCTGCTACTTTTCCCAAAGTTCCAACTTCTAATTCGACTTGATGGTAAATGTCCAAACATATCGGTAACAGTAAAGATGAAAATACAAATGGTTTCGTAATTTCTAATATAGCTATGTCGCCAGCATAGTTTCCCTCTAATCCCAAATAGTTACACACGATGTATATATTTTTTACCTGAAATAAAAAAAATTACGATCATTGGTATCATTTTTAAACAATGTAAATAGTATAAATGTAAATACCTTAGCCCTTTTCACAGTCAATGGATTGTGAAGAATGGAATCGTAATCTTTATAAATGTTTCCCGTTAATATGTAATACTTTGACGGGTCATCTAATGTCTTAGTGCGTTCGATGAATACGCAATGCGCTGCAGTTACTAAAAGTTTCTCGTGAATAATAGTTGCACCACAAATAAATTCTTTAATCGCGTCAGGTGCTTCTGCTCTGTAAATTGTGGCATGCCATGGAAACTCGGTGATATTAGGTCTAGTTCCATTTACGATAAGAGGCGTAGCATTTGGATGTGTAATACCGCATTCTAAAACATAAATCTTTACTATGTAAATTGTAGTAATTTGCGAGAGATAATTCACATTTATTTCTTAAATTAGTAGTACTACACAGAAGTAGGTAACAAATTCAGAGGCAAATAAGAACGTCAACATATTTATTAAACATATAAACATAATAACTTTAACTGATAAATGGCAATAAATAAAAATGTGTAATACTCTTTTGTTACAACATTTGTATACATTACGATTTATATGTGAATTATCTCAATATGCATAAGAAAGTTCATTTTGCAGATTTCAAATTACATATATTAGTATACTTTGTGAAATTATTCGTATCCTGTTACATAGATTAAATTCATATTCTTAATATTATGTGATAATAGTTGTACGTTTACTTTCGTTACTAATTGTAACATCAACGTTCGATTTAATTTGTTTGTCCTTATTACTGTAAATAATGATCTTATCGTCTAATATTTGTATCAATGTAGAATTATTTTTCTGTATATCGGTTTGCAATGAGATAGAAGTTTCGTTAACGTAAATATTTATTGCTGGCCGACCTGGGATACATCGCATCGGCTCTGGTTCCCATTGTCCATTTTCGTTACATCTAACTGTTAAATGTAAAGGGGACGTTATATCCGGGCGATAACTATTCCTACAAGACATTTCTCCCTGTGTACGAGGCAAAGCAGAGTCGCATGATACTTCTTGATCATCGTATTTACACCAAGCGGTTACCGAAGTTGACAATAAAGATTTACAACGTATTTCTGAAATACAACAAATTATCCATGACATTTACAGACAAGTATATATTTAGACTTAGCATTATATTTGCGTACCTTCACAAATCGGAATATTCAACCATTTGCCTCCCACACCACAAACTACATCAGGTGAGCCTTTGATTTTATAACCTTTTCTACAGGTGTAAACTAAATATGCACCTGGTTGTAATTCAGTACCTTCCTCAATATCACAATTCTCTTGAATAGAACATTGTGATTTATGCAATTTTCTGTAACCATTTTGTGGCTGTGGTGGTGCATTACAAAATTCTCTTGTAGGTAAGGGAATCCAAGGAGATGTGTCAGTGTCTGGCGATTTTTCTGTAACACTTCCACATAATTCCGGATTTTCATCGGAACTATCTGCACAATTTATGACTCCATTACACTTTAAATTACCATCGATACAGGCACCATAGTGACAACGAAAGAGTAACTGTGAGCAGCTATAAAAATTTTTAAATAATTAAGTATTAATGAGATAATAAATTCTAATTTTTTGTTTTTTGATTTGGAAACTTACGCAATGGACCCACACTGAATAAATGTTTCATCTGATTTATCTGCACAATCAGGAGTACCATCACATAAATTACTTGCAGAAATGCATTCTCCATTACTACATTTGAACTCATCTGTTGAACATGTTGTGGATGAATTATGCTGGCTACCTCTACACCTAGATATTGTTTCATCACTATTATCGATACAGTCTTTCACTCCATTGCAAGTCTTATCTCCATCTACACATGCACCATATGCACATCGAAATGCATAACCAGGACATGTTATTCCTGGTTTACTACATTCTTCACGTGTTTCATCAGACCCATCTTCACAATCTGCTCGCCCATCGCATAACAATTCACTTGCTATGCAATGTTCATTTTTACACTGAAATTTGTCCAAGCTGTTGACAAGAAATAATACTCAATTTGTCATTTTCAATTATTAAACAATTTATTACTGACTCACTTTATGTTATTTACTACAAGTCAGACAGGTATGTTATGTAAAATTTGTTCTACTCACCCACACAACTTATTTTGCCCGTATCCATATTCTATTGCACCTGTTTAAAAAATAAAGATATATTTTTTTGCTCCTGTTTCATTTTATTGCCAACCTACATTTTTTCCCATTATAAAAATAAGATTATATGTACAATAAAAATTATTTTTGTAAGTATTTATACTTCATTGTAATACATGATATATAACTTTTCCTTTCAAGAGTTCAAGGTCATTGTTAAACTGGTTTTTGGAGCTAGATGTATATGTAATATTTATTACTGTATTTTATTATAAGAATGATATAAGAATGAAACAAAATAAATTGATTATATTTATTCCTTGACAAATAATATATTCTTTAAAATACTTAAAATAAATAATGCTCAATTTTTTAAATTATACTTTGACTTTATCATACAATATAAATACATTTACTTACATGCAATTATTAAAATAAATCCAATTGTCATAGTCTTCATAATAACGAAAGTAAATCCGAAAAAGGTGGCGAATCGCTTATTTATTCACTACTTATCAATCTGGGATTACCCGTCTGAAGCAACCGTGGATCCACGCGGATGAAACTGCTTCGCATTTGTGTGCGTACGTGTGTTTTAAGAGGAAATACTTACCGCTTCTATGAAGCAATCTTCATTCGGTGATTACGTTTGAAAGAAAGACGTAAATAACATACAACTGATATTTCTCATACTACTCGATAGATAACAGAAACAAGAAAGCGAACGATAGGATTATTATAATCAATAATCGAATAAGGATAACTTAATGACATTTTACAGTAAAATATCTTAACAATGCTTAAAATGTAAAATTAAACTACATCGTAATATAAACAATATTTATCCAGAAACGTATTTAATATAGTTTTGCCATATAAATACAATGTCATTTAGAATAAAACATATTTTCATGATGCACTAGAATCCTTACATGCAAACCTCTGTGGTGTAAGAAAACTTGCCAGCCAATTCAAACACGTTTTTTCAGAAGATTCTATGTCAACAATACTTTTTAAAATATAATCTTTATAAAATTGTTCTATTTCTTCGTCGCAATCTTCCCAAGCCAGAGTTTCATGAATTCCATCTGATCCGTATCTTTCGTTATAATACGTGTAATGTACCTAAAGATACGAAAATATAATTTTCATATATAAATTATGACAATTCATCGACAAAGATTTCGTTCAATTTTAGTAACTTACATGATGTAAACTCAATCCTAGACTTGGTGCAATAGGAATGTCAAATCTATCTAGCGAAAACACGTCTTTTATCATATCATTCGTAATAATATTCCTGGAAATTCCTACTATCAAAGCAACCATTTTTCTAATTTGATGTAACATGAAACTTTGTCCTTTAACTTCCAACACAGCGAATTCTATGTCATTTGCAACAAATGTTTCGACGCAGCGAAAATATATTATGTAACGTCGAGCGCGTGGATCCAATGGTTTTCTGTAAAGGAATTCATAGAATTTTTCGATTCTTACTTACGATATAACGATATTTTACCATTTAAAATAACTTACATTTTTGATGTAAAATTATGGAAATTATGTGTACCTTCTAATAGCTTTAGAGTTTCATTTAATTTATTAAGCATATTTGTAGTCAATCGAAATTCATTATATGGTTTCCCATCTATCATTAGAAGTTCTTCCAGTCGTTTTTCTGGATCTACTACATCGTCTTCATTGACTTGTAAAAAATTTGAACTTTCAGAAGCCAAAACAAATGTCGGCATAACGTATCTATACGTTCTCGCATCGCACTGATTTTTGCTATTAAAACCTTTTGTTACTCTCCTTACAGCAAATACTCTAATTTCTTCTGGAAGATATTTATTTATTTCATCTTTATTTGCATGATTTGCTAAAAGACAAATGGAATAAAAGATAATTAATAATGCTTAAATATTTTTGAAACTACAAGCCAAATTGTTCTTATGCATTACTTACGTAGTCTCAGAGAAACAATTTGCCGGACAGCTGACACGCCTCTATCTGTACGTGCAGCTCTTTGAAATCTAACTTCTCGAATGTCATCAAACTGATCCTTTGTAATCAAATTAGATTTAAACAAAGCAAGTATTAAATCTTCCTCTATAGTTTTTGTACCAGGATTTCTTTGCATACCAAAATAATCTCTACCAAGATAACCCATCATTAACACAAAATTTTTCCTTTTAACTCTTTGTGTAACATCTGTACTTTCTTCTGTCTTCTGTACTTTGACGTCAACTTCAACTTCGTCATGCGAATCAGCTATGGGTCTTTTATTGGCATTTAGAAGAGTCTGTGCATCTTGATCAATAATATCAGTTTGGACAGACATGATCCTGTTACAAACTTTATCTAGAAATAAACAATTATTTTATTGTAATGATGAAACATTTTATGAGTTAATGAAGGCTCGAATTAAAGAGTAATCGAATATTGTAATGTTAACATTATTTTGTAAATAAATATTAAATCAATTTTCTTACCAAACTGGGCACTCAACGAACGAAAAAAAGGTGTATTGTTTCTAAAGAAGACTTTCTGACAGCTATACATTTGTACAGGTTGTTTATAATGTTTTAAAATTTCAATGTGTTATGCGATATACAGCTTGCATAACCTACAAAAGGAAACAATGTAATATTAGCTTACAATTAAAGTAGAATAAAAATGATGTTGATACATAAAATATATGCTAAACACAAGAATTTTAATAACCTTATGATTCATAATCATATAACAATAAATGTTTATTATTAAATGTTTATTACAACTTAAAGATGATAGGACACGAAGTGTTTAAAAAGAACACACATATGTATTAAAGGGATGTATAAACATTTTTACGATATTATTTAGAATAATTGATCAATTTTCTTAACCATCAACTAATGTAACAGAAAACTGGAGTAAACGAAAGAAATTATGGAAATGTAATAATGTTTACATGTGGCTATACAATAATTATAATGACAGCGGTATATACGTGTACATACCTGTTCTATGCTACATACACTGTAGTATGCTGTAGTAGATAATTTATTACGCTATACGTTGTCTAACTGTATCTATTATATTGTACTATCAAATTTATTGTACTTATTTAATATAGTCTTATAGGTACTTTCTTAAACCAATATAAATGTATTCTATGTTCTCATATATTTGTACTGTATAAAATAGTAAATACCATAGGCGTCCCAAACCCATCATACTTTTCTATGTTCAACCACCTAATGAAGTGTTAATTAATTCATAATTCTAAGTAGTGTATACTAAGTATAAGCATAAATGCGAAATTCTTTAAAAAATATTAATATTCTAAGATCACAGATGAGGTATAGGATATATAAAAGTGAAAGGAGTATACAATAGATATGGAGGAAATATAGTACAGAAGAAGGGACTGCAAGGCCAAGAGTATCATATGATCGACACGTTTTATATTTAATATTATATTTTCTCTAATCAAAGAAATAAAATGTAATGTATGTGCATCAATTTTCGCAATCATTTCCTTGCGTTATCTTCGAACATTGCGTTATTCTATTTCATGCAGTTTTTCAGTTAATCGTCAGTTAGTACTAAAAAGTTGACATTCTCAGTATCAATGTCTAAATCAATATTTGATCGGTACATTTGTTCTCAGTTGAACAAATGTATCTTTATTCGCTAAACAGTCGACTCAATAATTGCGGATACCGCTACGATGAACACCCTGTATACTTATTCGAGGTGAGGACTGTTGGCAAACGGTTAGGTTAGGTCAGCGGATACGTTTACAGCTAATTTCAGTATGAGTTCGCATATGCAGGGACTGTTTCCAATACAAATTTTATAACCACCCGGCAAAAGAAAAACAATTTTCTATCCATGAACGTTTCAGTTGTGATGTGCGTTATGGAATTTTTCGTTCGTCACGTTCTAACGTACAATAATTTTAAGTGATAGTCGATCGTAAGACGACCTTTGTGAAGGCTTAGTGTGCATGCGCTACGTGCACTCGATCGAGAAAGTGGTGTTACTTTACCCGAGGCATATGACGGACGGTTCGAGTATTGTTTTTAATTTCAAGAAAAATTGGCAGCAAGAACTGGCCAGATGAAGGTAATTCGCGCATTGAAGCGTTAATTATCGAACGTTTCGAATGTTGAAGGATCGCAGAGGTTAAAATTCGTCTGTATCGAGAAGACACTAATTGCTTCCATGGTGCTTTGTTTATTATTACTATAGACAGTGTGCATGGTCTAATTTCTATTATTTTACATATGACGCGATCATTTATCAGGCTTTATCGTCGCCCCTTATCGAGGAATATTCTCTATTTATTTTAATGATTTTTACCTTTTCAAAAAAGCATTCAAGTGGGCGGTGTTCCCATTATATAAAAAAGAAAAAAAAATGAGAAAACACACCTGTTAATTGTCAAATGATACTGTCTTTTGATCTTATCTTCACAGTGCAGAATAAGTTTATTTTTTAACATTTTTCATTCTTTGTATAGTGTTACATCATATTTGTATTTTTATTATTCTCAAAATTCAATTTTTTCTTCAATCATACATGTAAACAAACATCTTAAACTAATATAAACTAATATGTGGCAAAAAGTTGCAAATAATGATAGCTATAAAAAAAGTATCAGTAGAGGATACAGGCAACAATGAAATTGTTGAATTATTGTACATCAATGTTTCTTTCAAACTCTTTTATATTTTCTAAACCAGGAGTGTCAGTACTCTGTTTTTTGTAGACCACCCTGTACACCTGAAAATAATCAAACATATACCATTTTATAATAAATTTGTATTGTCATGTGTATTTAGTAAAACTATTAATTTATGATTGAATTAGTTTAAATTTAAAGACAATTTATAACCAATACATTTTAGATAATGTCAGATGATGATGTTGCATTGGACTCAATGGATACAGAAGAAGATATTTTTTCTCCAAGAACTCGCCGTCTTAGCTCTAATGTTAGACGGGTTAAAAGTTTACGTACTTTAAGGTCACATTCGACCAGTAATTCCCATATATCTATGAATAATTCAAGCGTTCGTCGTAGTACCCGTAACAGAATGCAAACATATGATAATCTTAATACTAGTTGGATTTTAGGTAAAAAATATTCTTAAATTACATTTAATATAAAATTACTTGTGCAATGTTTTATGGTATATCTAACATATTTGGTTCTAAAAATTAAAAATAGTTGTCTGATCAGATTTCACTAACAGATAATTTGTTTTGGAGCAGTTTAGAATTAATTATAAATGTACAATGTAAAATATATTAGGCAAGGCTGAGGTCAAAAGATAAGAATCACTCTACTATACACATGTTACTCTGAGATCTGAAAGATTTCTTACATTCTCCTCCTATTTTTAAGTTCTAGTATTTATTATGTTTCTTGAAGTATCTGTAATATTTTTTAGGAACACAAACATTAAAAGGTTATCCTATGTTTCAACAACATGGTTCTTCATCTGATAAAGATATGGTGGATGAAGTTCCAGAAAGAAAACGTGATCTCAAAGAGCGTATGCCTCTCAGATCACGTGAAAATCATCCTCCTAACAAGAATTCATCAAGGCATATAAGGGAAAGAACAGAACATGATAGACAAAGTAGTAGAGAGCTTAGAGGTAGGTCTGATCGTGATCTTAGAGAAAAAACAGAGCAAGAAAAAGATATTAGGGAACTTAAAGATAGACAAGAGCGAGAAAGAACAGACAGAGAGCATAAGGATAAAATAGAGACAAGAAGTAAATCACACGTAGAAAAAGATGTAAGGTAAATATCTGTGAATACAATTTGTACATTTCAAGTATGAATAAATATGTTTATTGAACAAATTTGTGTGTAGAACGAGTAAATCTGATAGTCCTAGCAGACTTAAAGAAGGGCCTGTAACAAGACTTGGTGGAAATTTAGTTGAAAAAGATGAAAAGCCTAAAGTGGATCAAGACGAAGCTGATGAAGACAGCTCACAAGAAAGCGAGAAAGTGGAAAACAATGATAATTCCGAAAACGAAGATGTAAAATGATTTTCTAAAATTATTTTAATATAGATAAATATGTAGTTTCATTTTGAATTTTTGATACATATAAATCTGATTTATAGGGCTATGAAGATATGTACACGCGCATTAAACGAACTAGAAGGACAGTACAACGACAGTTACCGAGGGGTAAGAAGCTTACAGGTTCGAAGATTGCGTTTTGATACACACATGTGACTATTTTTTTTCCCTAAATCTAACGTAATGTTATTATTTATAAATCGATTATTTTACAGTGGTAGATAGTGATTTAAGTGAATCTTCGGATTCTCCTGGCCCTAGAAAGTACAGTTTACGACAAAAAAAGCCAGCTGTAGATAGATTTCAAGCTAACGTAGAACCAGTTCGACGATCTATAAAAGCGCTTAGAAGTGTTCTTAGTAATTCCATGAGGAGGCGTAAACATAGAAGCAAAAGTACAAGCTCTAGTGACTCTAGCGATTCAGAACCTCAACGCTACGATAAGAAGAAAAGCAAGAAAGCAAGGTAAGATTAAAAAAAAAATTCGATCGAAGATGACGTTATTGTACGATAAGTTATTAATTTTATGAACTTTGTAATAGACAATCGGCAATACCTCAAGGTGGACCACCAGATCGTAAAGCAGATATAAATCCAATTACTTTAGATACTAACATTAGGTTCAATGATGTTGGAGGCTTGGAGTCACATATTCACTGCCTTAAAGAAATGGTTGTTTTTCCTATGATGTATCCAGACGTTTTCGAACGTTTTCATATTACTCCGCCAAAGGGAGTGCTATTTCATGGTCCACCAGGTATATTTAAAACAAATTATAGCGTTTATAGATATATAAATAAATGTCTACATAATTATATGGAATATTTGTCTAGGAACTGGTAAAACATTAATAGCTAGGGCATTGGCAAATGAATGTAGTCAAGGCAGTAGGAAAATGGCGTTCTTTATGAGAAAGGGAGCAGATTGTTTATCCAAATGGGTTGGAGAATCCGAACGCCAATTGCGATTGTTGTTTGAGCAGGCTCAACAAATGAAACCGTCCATAATATTTTTTGATGAAATAGATGGCCTCGCACCTGTTAGAAGTACGAAGCAAGATCAGATTCACGCTAGTATTGTATCTACTCTTTTGGCGCTTATGGATGGTCTCAGTGATAGAGGAGAGGTAAAATATTCAATGTGGAATATGTTAATAACGAAATATGTCTCTTTAATTAATTAAAAATTCCTCGTTCGATTTGCAACAGGTGATAGTTATTGGAGCAACAAATAGAATAGACGCTATTGATCCAGCATTGCGTAGACCCGGTCGCTTCGATCGGGAATTATTTTTCCCTTTGCCTGCTATGAAAGAAAGACTAGAGATATTAAAAATTCATGTTAGCAAATGGAAAAATCCCCCGTCGGATCAATTGTTAGAAGTACTAGCTGAAAAAGCAACTGGTTACTGTGGTTCAGACTTACGAGCTTTATGTACCGAGGCAGTCTTACAGGGCTTGAGAAGAACATACCCTCAAATATATATGACTAGCAGCAGATTACTTTTAGATCCTGAACGAGTTTCAGTACGTTTTTATTAATGTATAATAAATAAATAATTAACTATTCGCCATACTAAATCACATGGTCCACGCAGGTAAAAAAACGGGATTTTATACAAGCTAGTTCTATGCTTATACCATCGTCACAAAGAGTATCACCTTGTTCTCGAAGAAAATTACAACCTTTTATGGAACCCCTATTAGGACCTCCGCTAGAAGAGTTACTCAGTTCGATAAAGGGGATATTTCCTCAAGGAGTCAATCCTACAATGGCAAAGTAATAAGATCTCAGTATTTACGATGTAATAAAATACTATCGCACAGTGTAATTTAATATTATTATATTCTGTCAGAGTAAAAATTAGCACGGGATTACATCGTCCGAGGTTACTAATTTCTGGAGGGAATCTATCAGAAGGTCAAGGGCCACACTTAGCACAAGCGTTATTGTATCATATGGAACATCTACCAGTTCAAACATTAGACGTTAGCACTCTTTTTGCAGAAAGTGGACGATCTCCGGAGGAAACCTGTGTGCAGGTCGGTTACTGACCATAAGTACAAAGATAATTAAATAAAGTACCCATTTACATGACTATGTTCATTTCCTATCGCAGGTATTTAATGAAGCTGCCAGGAACGTACCGTCCATAATTTATATACGGTCGATAGATCAGTGGTGGCCACTTGTACCTGAAACTGTAAAAGCGGTTTTTTTATGTCGTATCGCAGCCCTCGCTCCTTCGTTGCCTATCTTAATCCTAGCTACGAGTGATACAACATATCAAGACCTCCCTAGCCAACTGCGAAGTCTCTTTAGCGAGCTTCGCGGAGAAGTTTATTGGATGAAAACGCCAACAGCGGAACAAAGATCGAAATTCTTCCGACATATTTTCATGGTTCAAAGCTTGAAGCCGCCAAAAATAAAGGACGACAAAGTTGAAGTTTTAGAAGAGCTTCCTTTAGCGCCAGATCCTATGCCAATGAAATTAACGGAAGAAGAGAAGAAGGTCATGTACGAAAAGCAAGAAGTTTCCTTGAGAGAGTTGAGAATTTTTTTGAGGGAGATTTGCGCGAAACTCGCGAGGAATAGACAGTGAGTATTTGTATACATTTCTTTCTTGTTTTTATATATCCTACGAAATGTTAACTGATATCGAGCTTCCTTTGTTTTTATAGATTTTTCATGTTTACTAAACCGGTGGACACGGAGGAGGTACCAGATTACAATATGATAATAAAACAGCCTATGGATTTAGAAACAATGATGACGAAAATCGATATGCACTGTTATCTTTGCGCTCGAGATTTTCTTGACGATATCGATCTCATTTGTAGGAATGCTTTGGAGTATAATCCTGATAGGTCAGTATATTTAATGTATATCTATGAAATTTTTAAAACTCATTGACTAAAAATATACATGTAAATATTAAGTGTAATTAAGCACAAAAGTATTTAGTTTGTTCATATTAACTCCGTTTCCTTATTGAATTATTCAAACAAATTTTGAATGCTTTGACAAACAACAGAAATATCGTAATTTTCCGATCGAAAGATTATAAGTATTTAAAAGATTTGTACTTTACACACTATTATTTATATTTATTAGTATAGGCGCTTTTTTATATTGTTCATCGCATATATAGCATATATATATATAAATATAAATAATGGAGCTAAAGTTCATACTGACATTCATGTTGTGTGTTTTCATGTCAGCTTACGTGATAGGCCTTCCCTTGGAATATTGAAGAGGTAGTTCTGACATTCCTGTTTATCCGTTGCTGTTGTTGCTCCGTAGTTAAAGTGGTCTTCAATTTCTCAAATATACTTCAGTAATTATAAATATAAATAAAAATTTATATTATTGAAGACCACTCATCTTAGTTCACATTGCTTTTCACTAGTGACGCATTTTTTTGCCATTTGTCTATATGTCCTATTGTGCTCTTTCGCAGAGATCCAGCGGACAAGTTGATAAGACATCGCGCGTGCTCCCTCCGCGATAATGCATACGCATTGATAAAAGCAGAATTGGATTCTGACTTCGAAGACAAGTGTCGCGAGATCTCCAAGAGCCGTAGAGTTACCGATAGCACGTATAACCACGCAGAAAATAAAAACCATACAAAAACAGATCATTCCGCGTCTACGACCGAACGAACATACAAGAAGG